TATATACTAAACACATTTGTAAATATATATTGGCGGTTTCAGCACAATCTTCCTACAAATCACTTGAGAGGCTTTTATCAGTGGCATCTAGGAAAAGCATTTACCAGGTTCTCTCTCCCTGCCTGCTTTATACACACACACACACACTGGGGGGGGGGGGACGACGCAGCAAGACGCATACCCCTAAACATCTAACGGGAGAAGAAACTAAAAGAAATTTTGAAAATTGTTTCTTCTCTAGTATGGGGAATTGTCAGTTCCATTGCTACCCCTGATGGCAGCCTCATTTTCTGTCCCGGTGTTTCCTGAGTCTCAGACAGAAGTGAGGGTTTAATGTGTGAAGTAGGAGTGGGAAGTAGGAGGGAGGATGTTAGTGCACACAACCTCATGCCAATGTGGAACTTACTCTGAGCTATGAACTGTGTAATGTGAGGTAATGCATGTTCTTTGTACTTTTGTCCATTTACTGTATTTATTTTTCCTGATTTGAACTACAAAATGGTGATTTTCTTGAGTCAAAATGAGAGTACCCCTAAACATTTTATAAGAAAAAAGCACTGTGCATATAGAAGCTGCGCCCACAAATAAGCCGCTCCCTTAAAATTCGGCAGGCACTCACACCCATTCTGTTCTGCCGTATGTCTGTTCCAGCAGCGATATTGTAAAAGCCATTTTTTGTAAGGTTGCGAATTTAAGCCGCACTTCACGGTCGGAATTTGGGGGGAAAGTGTGGCTTATATTCGGGCCAATACAGTATATATTTTAAAAACCTATATTTATACAGGTGCCTACTCAAAGCACCGGCAGGAACTATTGTGAAAATAAGAAGTATTAAGGTGGGGCACCAAATTTTGTTCTTGTTTAGGGCACCCTATTACCAAAGTCCACCTCAACCAACACCATGTGCCCTCATTTACCTCTAGTGCAACACCATGCTATAAACAAAGTAGACTGCTCTGTCACATTATACAAGTGAAAGCTCTATCTGCAGGCTATACAAAGATCAGGAAAATGTTCAGGGCACAGGTCAGCATATTTGACACCTCAGTCCTGGCTGTTTATACCAGCCTTCCACCCACATGGTGCCCTCCAGGCCTTTTGGTCTACAGCTCCCATCATCCCTGATCATTGGCTATGCTGGCAGGAGGTGATGGGAACTGCAGCCCAAAATATCTGGAGGGCATCTGGATGTTGCAACAGGAAGGTATCTATTGCATACATATAAGGCACAAACCACAGTAGCATCTTTATGCAGTCAGCACTGAATTGAGTCACCCAAGTTAACTGGTGCAAGTGTGATTACCTGACCATGGGCAGACATGTGATTTATGGGTTAAAAAAAAACACCTGTCCTATTTGTCTAACGGATATATTTTTCATACATATTGCCTGTGCCCATGCATTTCAAGATTTCTTTTGGAAGCTACCTTCAAAACACTTCAGAACTGAGCAGACAAGCATATATTAATTGCAATGGAATATAATGCTTGCCTCTGTGCATTACAAATCCAACATCAGTGTAATTTAACACTGATCAAAAGTACAATAAAAACTTCACCCTTTCCTATCAGCGCTCTCTGCGAATGAAAAGTATTAAGAAGAACTGACACGGTTCTTGAGAATGTTGGCAGATGTACAAGAGAAAAAAGGACTCCCTGAGAGAAAGTCTACTTTTCCAAGGCTCTATCTCAACTTGCTATCTGCAAGCTGCATCATGTAGAGCCAAGACAGAGAACAATAATAATCACATCTGAGGCACAGATCTCTCGCAGTTTATGAAGAAAGATTGCAGATTGCATAGTAGGCTGCTGGCGAGTTCAAATAACTGGATTCTGCTACCCTCCAAAAAGGATGGGCAAGCAACCTTCAATAACTTTTTCAATCACCTTGTAACAAGTGTCCAGTAAAAACAGGTTACCTGGAGGAATCCAAAATTCCATGGACTGTTTGTTTGTCCATTGAATTTTGAACAAAGTATAGAACTTTACTAAACACTAAAGCTATTTGACAACAGTAGAATGCATGGCATATTACAGCCATCATCAAAACTGAAACTACTGGATTTCCAAGAAACCTACAGCTGAAAAAGTCATTGTTTGTTAGAGGAGGGGAATCCAGCAGACTGAATTTACCTTGTCAAATTTCTCCACAGCTTTAATAATGTCTTGTTTTCCATTTACAAACACAGCACCATTTCCTGCACTGTGTGAAATGTACAGTCCATTCTCTGGAGAATCATCATCATATCATCATTTATTTATTTATTTATTTATTTATTTATTTATTTATTTATTTACACCCCGCCCACTCTGGGCGGCTCCCAACAGAACATTAAAAATGTGATAAAACATCAAACATTAAAAACTTCCCTAAACAGGGCTGCTTTCAGATGTCTTCTAAAAGTCAGATAGTTGCTTATTTCCTTGACATCTGATGGGAGGGTGTTCCACAGGGCTGGTGCCACTACCGAGAAGGCCCTCTGCCTGGTTCCCTGTAACCTCACTTCTCGCAGCCCTCAGAGCTGGACCTCAGTGTCCGGGCTGAACGATGTGGGTGGAGACGCTCCTTCAGGTCTACTGGGCCGAGGTCGTTTAGGGCTTTAAAAGCCAGCACCAAAACTTTGGATTGTGCTCAGAAACGTACTAGAAGCCAATGTAGGTCTTTCAGGACCAGTGTTATATGCTCTTGGTGGCCACTCCCAGTCACCAGCCTAGCTGCTGCATTCTGGATTTATGCATCCTTCTGTCTGTGCACGATTTTCAACTGAGGGTTAAGTGTATGACTATTGACAAACGCTAAGGGAAAGGGCTTGGTCCTGAGGAAATAGTTGGATTGATTCAATTTACATTCCCTGTACATATACCTGATCCCTATGTGCCACTTTTAGAATTTTTTAAGTTATCCACTGCTGGGACAATAAATGCCTTGGGATGTCCCACTGTGGAAAAAATGAGTAAAATTTTTGCAAATATAACTGAGTACTGTAAAGTATGCACAAGAAATCAAAGTGGAAGGGGAAAGCACTCTACCTTTCCTAAAGTGAGAAGGGTGTGAGCATGTTAGCAGAAAATTAAAAACATTCCTGATTTAGATCTGGGTGGTACTTAACTGATGTGTGAACCTTCTAATAATACAGCCTCTGTTTCTCCTGGCAAATCCAGCATCTTCTGGGCAAACGCTTCCTAATTCATCCAGCAGGAGTCCAGTACCATCTCCCACGGGAAACAGGAAGTGCCCGGCTCCCCCATTTTCCCATCTCGAGACGCTAACCCATAGCCCATCCTTTCTGTCACTCTTTCAAGGCCCTTTCATCCTTGGTACTCAGTGAATCAAGATACCGTATTTTTCGCTCTATAAGACGCACCCGACCAAAAGACACACCTAGTTTTTAGAGGAGGAAAACAAGAAACAAGAAAGAAATGCAAAGCCTCTTCAGTGAAGAGGGAGCGCGTCTCCCTCTTCGCTCAGGAGGCTTTGCGGGGCTATCCCTGAATCCAGGAGAGCAAGAGGAGTCAGTGCGCACTGATCCCTCCTGCTCTTTTGGCTTCAGCGATAGCTGCGCAGCCTGCATTCGCTCCATAAGACGCACACACATTTCCCCTTACTTTTTAGGAGGGGAAAAGTGAGTCTTATAGAGCGAAAAATATGGTAATTCCCTATGTGAAGTATGTACGTTTTGACAATTTCCAAACAGAACTTTAAATCTTATACTTTCGACTGATATACTCAACTGCAAAAAGAAACTTCCCACAACTGCAAAAAGAAACTTCCCACAAGAAGTTCTGTTAAATTCTTTTTTTAAAAAATCTAGTGCATCAAAAGTAACAGCATAATGCAAACACCCAATTTCTATCGGTGTGTATATATATATATATATATCAGTTGAAATAGCTTTAGAAGCTGTAAGTAAGGGAAAGATGTCTAGTACTAGAAGTTTGAAACACATTAAAGGAAACATGGGGGGGGGCTAAACCACCACTTTCTTTCATTCTGAAAAGGGTAGCTCAAATGTCCCCCCAAAAGACCCTGCCTGATGTTTTTGAGGGTATAATTGACCCTGATCATCAATTAGATGCAACCAACGTTTGTGGTTAAGCTGTTTATTAATTGAGAGATTTGGAAGATAACTTTGTATGGCCAGGGATATTTTACTAAAGTGGGGAGTTGCTGCATTGTCTCTTACAGTCTGAGATGCTTTGTCATCAGTGGGGTTTAAGGTGTCCCGCAATAAGGAGAGTGCATGTTATTGGGGAAGGCTCTTGCAAGTAGCAGTGGACTGCTATGGCTAAGAGTGAAGTGACCAGAGGGGGTTGATTGTTAATGGAGAACTGACAAAAATATCAACAGGGATTCTAAATATGGTGAAAAAGTGAGTGCCCACTGACTTCAGTAAGGTTTATTCATAAACAAATAAGTTTGGGACAGAGCCATTATTGTTAGAGTTATCCAACACCCCTTTAAAATCCCCTTGAGGGTTAACCATAGGGAATAGAGGGCTCCTTTTTGTGGGATATGTATGGATCTATACTAAGTAGCCACATCCATATGGATATGTGGCAGTTGTGAGTCGGCTGCTCCAGGTTTGTGTGGCTTGTAGTTCCGTGAAGCTGTTTGTGGTAAAGAGCAGCGAAAGAGGTAGGGAAGTTGAGGGACGGGAAGGCTGGGACAGGGGGCCAGAAGAGAGCCAGAGCGCGCCCCGGGCGGAGGGACCAAGACCCCGGCAGGGCCGACCTCCGCGCGCCCCGTCGAGGTTTCGCTTTCTACCCCGCGGGGCCAGGAGGGCTTCCCCGGGCGCCACGCGGCTGCTCTCGGTCCGAGGGGAAGCGGCGGGGGCCGGGGGGAGAGGCGCGTCTGCGGCGGCGGCCGAGAGGAGCAGCTCCGCCAGGTGAAAGAAGCACCTGAGGAGGAGGAGGAGGAGGAGGTCCGGCGGGAAGCCGGGCCGGGCCGGGCAGGGCAGCGGTGCCCGGGGCGGGCGAGGGCGTCTGGCCGGCTGCTCTTACCTTGAACGCCACCGGGAGCGTCTTGTTGCAGCGCCAGTGCGAGGGCAGCACGGAGCACAGGAAGTTGGGGCTGTCGGTGCGCACCAGCTCGGCCGGGTGGTCGGCGATGATCTCCACCATGGTGCGGTTGTCGTGCGGGCGCAGCCGGGGCACCGCCGCCGCCTCCTGGTGCTGCTGCTGCGGGTGCTGCTGCTGCTGCTGGGCGGCCGCCGCCGCCACCACCACGGGGCTCACGTCGCTCATCTTGCCGGGCTGCAGGCTGCTGGAAGGCGGGCTGAACCTCCGGCTGGTGCTGGGATCTACGGGAATACGCATCACAACAGCCACAAGTTAGCGCGTTTGGCAGGGGGCTCGGGGAGGGGGCGCTGGTCCGTCGAGGCGGCGTCGGAGCGGGACTGGGACGGAGGAGAGCGGGAGGAGAGCCGGCCGGGGCCAGCGAGGCGGGAGGGGACGGGGGAAGCCGGGCGGCGAGGGCGGAGAAGGGCTGCTGCGCTGCCGGGGAGACCCTGGCGGCGGGGCGGGGGGTCCCGGGCTGCGCTCCGAGCGCCGAGGCTCCCGGCAGTGGCGAGTCTCTCGCTTCCTCGCGGCGCTCCAAGTCTCTCTGCTCGCTCGGCCACCTCTGGCACCCGCCTCTTCGGCGATTGCTACACGTTTGTGCCCCCCCCCCGCGCCGCCCGCCGCTGCCGCTTTATTTCTTCCTCGGCGGGGCGGGGGTGGGCAGGGGGGTGTGATCGGGGTCTCTCGGCGAGGAGGGGAAGGAGCTGTCGGGCGGCGAGTGGATCGCCCTGCGCGCCCGGGGCGGGGGGGGGCACCTCGGCGGGACAGGCTCGCTCCCCTCCCGGGAGGTCTTCCCCCGCCGGCCCCCCTCCGGCCGGATCAGGCTCAAGATGCCAGAGCTGCTCGCGTTTCCCGGTTACTGGTTGTTTTGTCGCTTCTGCCACGGGGGGGGGGCGGGGGGGACCCGGCTCTGCGGCGAAAAGCGTCCTCGCTCGGTCCGCGGAAGCCGCGCGCTCTCCGGGTGCGGAGACGCAGCAGTCAAAACAATCCCGCGCCGGGCAGCGAGTGCAGACAGCGGCCGGGAGGGAGCGAGGCTTCCTCGACTTCCAACTTCCGACTCCCGGCAGGACGAGCCGGGGGGGGGGCCTGGCCGGGGCGCAGGGAGGGCGCCTTAACAAACAAGTGGCAGGGCGGGGGGGGGCAGATAAAACTTCAGACTTTGTCAGAGTTTTTGTTGCTTAAGAAACAGCTCCGCGGGGGCGCCCCAGGGAGAAGCGGACTGCTTTGGCACCGCAGGGGGGGGTCGGGGGTTGCTTTGGGGCTCCTGAAATGGTGGGGAGGGGGGGCGCCCGGCAAAGCGGGGTTTCAAATGACCGGGTTTCGCGGCACTGATCCACGCGCGCGCGCGGAGACGGAGCCCGAGCCGCCCCGACGCGGACGGGAGGCGGCAGCACGTGGCGGCGCGGCGCGTCCTCCGGCTCCAGCCGCCTTCAAAACAAGCAGCGCAACGTGCGCCTTGGCCGCCGCCGCCGGGGGGGGGGTCCTCGGGCTGCTGCGGAAGCGCCAAAGGCCCCCCCCCCGGACAAGGGCTGAGGGCAAAAACAAGAGCTGCGCTGGGGGGGGGGCACGGTCCTCCCAGTGAATACTTTACATTATCGACATTTCTGCGCAACCACTTTGCTATTCACCAAACTGCAGACCCGAAAAGCCCTTGCTAAGGACCCCCAGCGCCCTCCAAGGAGTTCATGATGCCCTTACTTCAAAAAGAAGAGGGGGCTGCTTTGGCTTGCTGTCTTTGGCACCCAAGTGGCAGCAAATTTGGTTTTTCTTAAAAACGCCCGAAACGCCGCCTCCCCGCGCAGAGAGCCCCCCCCTCTCAGCTCGCCCTTGGCTTAATGCTGCTGCCCCCGAGCTGCCCGCCCGGCCAAGAGCTGCCAAGCGCCAGCCCGCTTCATCCTGGGGGGAGCAGCCCTCTGGTCCTTCTCCCGAGGAAGTGTCCCTGAGCAGGACACGGGTTTCTTCAACTATACCTGTTCTCCCTCCCCCCCCCCAACACCCCCCTGTCTCCCGGGGGCATTTTAAGCAGACAAAGCTTGTGTCCGGGGGGGGCATTCCCCGGTCTCTCTTTGGGTCTCTTCTGAGAGACCCTTGGGGGGGGGGAGGCCATGGCGCTGCCGGCCGAGGGGCCGATGGTGGCGGAGCCGCATTGAAAGAAAAAGCAACCAAGGGAAGCGCCGCCGCTCCGAGTCCTGGAGACCCACCCAAAGCAGCCCAGGTCGGACTAGGCATTGAACGGGCGACGTTTCCCACCTAGAACGTGAAAGATTGAGGAAGCAGTAACGCCTGTTGTTGGTTTCTTATACTGGGAGTAACTGGGTTGTGGCTTTTGCTAGCTTATGATTTAGGACATCCCAACCAAAGGCAAAAAAATAAATAAAATAGTGAAACTGCACACACAACTAACAATATAAATTTCTTAATGACAGGAAGATAGGTTAGCTCTTAGCAAACCACCTTGTACTCTAAAACATTACCTGCCAAGTAAAAAATAATGTTTAGATGTTTAAAGAAGCTTTTGGAAATGACCAGCACAGAGCTACTTAAAATAGACAACACTCAATTTTAATGTGGAAATAAAAAATTTCCACCAAATGCTTCCACAAAGATAGGCTTTTGGCAAAACTGATCTTCTCTCTTCTTCTTTTTTATAAAAGCCTCTCTGCTGATCACTTTCCCCAGTTAATAGTAACTTGTGGGATCCCAGAAGGAGATACAACTCTTAAGCATTAGTATTATTATTATCTTGACTAAAAAGTAGCTGTAGGTTAGAGCCTAACTATTTTTACTTGGATTCCAATGGGATTTGCTCCTATGTAGAGAATGCACAGGACTGTAGCTGTAATATTGATGGAGACAAATAAAGGCTGTATGGCTTTTACATATACTGTATGCTAGAGTTTACATCACCAGAGCCACAGACATGGCTGTGTAGATCCTTGAGCTTTTTTCTGCTGTTTCTTCATAAATTAACTGCACCAAATATGTAAAAGAGATCAGAGAGCCATAAAAAGTTATAAGGAAAGTGTACAGCAGGAAACTAACAATAATTCCGGGTGCTGGTTCTGAAGAGTGAAATCTAGGGCCCTAGAGCCACAAAAAACTGCCGGGGTTGGCTATCTTGGCATAGTTGCAGCTGCTCATTTTATTATTTTATAATTTGTTATTAATTTATTTTCCCCCTTTTCTACAACAAAACATATTCTTAAGCAAATGTGATTCTGTACAGGATAGTGAATTGAGTTAAAATGTGAACTGCACATGCTCAGAGTTCATTTTTTAAATCAGGTTTGGCAATCTGTTTTAGTTTTTTATCTAACATACCAGGAATGTATCTAAATGGGTGGGGCTGTAAGACTATTCAGGGGTCTAAAATTACCTAGCATTATCCCTGGTTAGAATCCGGGCAAAGCTGGAAGCACTTCTAAATCTCACTGATTTCAAGGGAAAGAAGCATGTGGTTAACAAGGTGCTAGATTGTACCCGGGATAGATTAGCTTCAGTGTATAAAATAAAATAGTTTAACCAAGTTTAACACAATATTAAATAAAATGATAACTGTAAATAGAGACTGTAACTGTGTAACATGAATGCTATTTCTTTAAACTGACAAACTTTGTTCAAATATAATAGTAAACATCTCTAAACCTACTGTCAGAGTGGTGTTCTATTTTGGGTGTTTCTGTAGTGGTCAGTGCTGTAGAATCATAAAATGGGCAAAAGCAAAACTTTTATCTCAGCAAGGGAAAGGGATTCTCACCATATTTATTTGTGTGCAATTATCTAGAACCAATACTACTTTTATTCCAAATTTCACCCGTATAACATGTTTTAACAACCATGTGCTGGTTGAATGGGTGCCAAGCATAAACTATGTTTGTTAAATATATCTGATTCTCCATAAAAAATGAGTAAAGTATAAATGGGAAATATGTTTGATTTTATGAGCATGTTTTTATTGGTATTCCTAGCAATTTCATAAATTACTGGTATAATTAAATGATACAGTTGCATTTTCCCCATACCAAGCACACATATCAACAATTTTAATTAAGTCATGAGTTGCCAAGTTAATTTGGTTACCTGTCCAGATCTTGACATTTCTCAAATATGTATAGACTATGATTCAGAAGTTAAAGAATTGTGTATTTGATGGAAATGGTGTGGAATCATTTGAACTATATAATCATTTGGTTATCAGACACAATAGGCCATGATACAATACTACAAACATTGTGAGAGTCTGGTTTTTGATCCTGCCCCACTGATTTATGATCTGGGGGCAACAAGAGATTCATTGATCACTATCCTAAAATGTGAAACAAGAATATATAGCATGATCCATCCAAAACTAAGCACCTTTAAAGTCCAACTTGTATCAACTGTAGGTGAATTAAGTGTATGTTTAACTTGGTCATTGAAATCAGCAGAATTTTATTTTTTTTTGCTTTGGTTGAATGATACCCATAATTACCTAGCATCAAACAATGGGTTTTGATAATGGAGAAAGATATAAAATGTTCAAATGACATTTCAGCACAGCAAAAGGCAACCAAAAGTATCAGGGAGCTGGAGCAACTCCTTCATAAGGAAAGGGGCTGCGGGGGGGGGGGTTATTGTTTATAATGAAAGTGAGGAAGTGGGGACATGATAGAAATGTATAGGATGATGCATGGCTTGGAGAAAGTGCATGAAGAGTCCATATTTTTCTCCCTCATAACACTAGGACCTAATTAAGTGGAATGGTGGGAGATTCAGACAAAAAGAAAGTACCTCTTCACAGAGTGCATAGTTAAACTGACCTCCCCTCCACCAAGTCTGGCCTTAAAGGGAATTGGACAAAATATGGTGGAGACGGCTACCAGTGGATACTAGTCCTGACAGCTGTACCTGCCTCTGAACTCAAGCCACAGGGAAAGAGGGATGGGGGAAGGAGTTCATGTCCTGCTTGTGGACTTCCCATAGGCATATGGTTGGACACTGAGGGACTGGACAGGCCCTTGATCTGATCCAGTCAGGCGCTTATGAATGTCAACAACATTCTCTCACAGATTTTCCAGTCAAACAATGGGATGGATCAGTGGTTCACCAAAGAGTGTTGGATTTAGAGCAGAAAGATCACGGTCCAAATCCACACTCAGCCTTGAAGCTCCTTGAATGACCATGGACCATGGACCATGAACCACCACTCATTCTAATTTACGTATCAGGATTACTCTGAGGAGAAAAGTTGACAACCACCAGTGCCTACAGCTTCTTGGAGTATGAGAGGGATTTGCAAGCCTCCCATTGAGGTGATAGTGTTGAGATTGCCTTTTCCAGAAACCACATGCTCTGCTGTTGAACAAAAGTATAGGAGCGGAGACCTAGTAGTAAGGGGGAAACGCATTCACAGACATATTCACTTCACGTGGACTTGGTGAAGGCTTAGCACTGAAAATAACTTCCAGGGATGACCCTTCTCTTAAAAGTAATGCCCTAGGAGTATCCCCTCGGTGAGGACTGCCATCTTCCCCCACCCAGAGACTGCTGCTGCTGCTGCTGCTGCTACAGAAGCAAAGAGAACGGCAAGGACTACTGCAGGGACCAGGTCCTTGGGCAGGCAGGCAAAGTGGGAAGAGCTGCTGCCCCAGCTGGGTGTGGTCCAGCAGCTGAGGCAGCATTATAAAGCCTGCCTGTCTTCAGGGGTGAGACAAGGACGAGGGCCAGCCCTCCTGTGTTAACGTTATTAAGTAATTATTTAAATGTTTTTAGGTGTTTCAAATAGTCTGTGGTGTTTTGAATTTTGTTTTTTTGTTTTTGTTGGGGGGTGGGATGGACGTTTTGTTGGGGCTGGGGAATGGTTTAAGCATGATTGTAAATTATTATTATTATTGGTTGTTTGGTGTGTTGTTGTTTTGTTTGTTTGTTTGTTTGTTTCTACTGTTCTATTGGTTTGTTGTATGGTTTGTGTTCTGATCTGAAGGGGAGAGGGTCAGGGCTGCCTGGGGGCCCCAGCCAACAGAATGGCTGGGGCAAGTTCCACAGGGTGTGTGTGTGTGTGTGTGTGTGTGGATGCACTGGGACACCTGATTTCAGTGATCACGGGCAGGAGGAAAAGCTACACTAAGACTAGACCATGTCATTACTGAGGAGGCAGGCTTAGTCATTGTTTGAGGACTATCCCTGTCTCCGGGTCTGGTCTTGACCAGAAGGACACTGGAACACGACCTTAAGGTGCTGCTGTGCAATGCCAGGTCAATGATTCACATGACGGCTGTCATCCATGACTTGATTGTGGATGGAGGACTTGACCTGGCATGTGTGACAGACACTTGGTTGGATGAAGCAGATGGGCCTGTTCTTGCCGCTGCTTGTCCACCAGGTTTCTCTTAAGCACAGCCACCCAGGTCATGTGGGGGGGGGGAGGGTTGCAGTTATTTTTAGGAAGTCACTAGCTTACACTAGGCCTCCTAGTTAAGGGGTTAAGGGGTGATATGATAGCCATGTTCAAATATATAAAAGGATGTCATATAGAGGAGGGAGAAAGGTTGTTTTCTGCTGCTCCAGAGAAGCGGACACGGAGCAATGGATCCAAACTACAAGAAAGAAGATTCCACCTAAACATTAGGAAGAACTTCCTGACAGTAAGAGCTGTTCGACAGTGGAATTTGCTGCCAAGGAGTGTGGTGGAGTCTCCTTCTTTGGAGGTCTTTAAGCAGAGGCTTGACAACCATATGTCAGGAGTGCTCTGATGGTGTTTCCTGCTTTGCAGGGGGTTGGACTCGATGGCCCTTGTGGTCTCTTCCAACTCTATGATTCTATGATCCTATTGGGAAGACCCAGTTTTTTGAGTGCATGTTCTGGAAGTTGGACAATATGGGCAGTACAGGATTCCTTTGGGGGTACCAACCTCCCCGCTGCACCAAGGACTGCCTGTTTGAGCTGCTTCAAGTCGTGGCAGATGTTCCCATGGAGACATCTAGTTTGGTTGTCCTAAGGGATTTTAACATCAGTGCCAACACAACCTTACAAGGGGCCGATCGGGACTTTGTGGAAAGCATGGCCTCCATGGGGCTGTCCCTGAATGAGTTTGGCCCAACTCATGCTCACGGACATGCCTTTGACCTGGTGTTCACCTCTATGGATGTGGATGATCTGACACTAAGTAAAAGCGAAACAAAAGAAGTGCCATGGTCTTTCAGGTCATTTGCAATCTTACAGAACCACCTTCGCCATTGGGGCCTGGTAAGGACTCCCAAGATCTGCTGCAATGATTTTGCAAAGCTTTTTTGCAGATAAAGTCGCTCAGATTTGGAAAGAGGTAGACTCCACCGTGAGAGCAGGGCCGGGGCGGGAGAGTGCTAGAGTCCTGTCTAGTCAAGTTGCGTGGGATCTATTGCAATCTGTTATATATGTAGACAGGCTGCTTAGACGTGTGAAACCGACCACCTGTCTCCTTGATCCTTGCCCATCCTGGCTCATAAAAGCGAACCAGGAAGGGCTGGGCGATGGGCTTCGCGGGGTGGTGAATGCTTTGGATCCCTTCCAGTCGGGATTCAGGCCTCATCATGGGACTGGAACTGCCTAGGTTGCACTGGTCGATGAACTTCAGCAGGCTAGGGACAGGCTAGGTGAGAGCTGTTTCCTAGTTCTGCTGGATCTTTCAGCGGCCTTTGATGCCATCGACCATGACATCCTTCTGGACTGTCTTGAGGGGCTGGGAACTGGGGGCACTCTTATACTTCCTCCTGGGCCGTGTTCAGAAAGGGGGGGGGATGAGTGTTCAGACCTTTGGGCTCTCACTTGTGGGGTGCCCCAGGGCTCAGTCCTCTCCCCCATGTTTTTTAACATCTATATGTAGCCACTGGGAGAGATAATCATATACCAGGGGTCTGCAACCCGCGGTTCCGGAGCCGCATGTGGCTCTTTTACACCTTTGCCGCGGCTCCGGGGCGGATACTAGCGAGGGGAGGAGGCGCATTGTGCGCCCCAACACTCCCCACTGTGGCGGGCGCTGTACTGGCTGTGACGCACCGTCCCGAGGTCACCTTCCCGCCCGCTGTCAGATCGGACATTAAGGTAAGAAACAATATATGCAGCGTTATATTTGTTTTGAATGTCGCAATGGTTTTGCGGCTCCCAGTTTTTTTTTCTTCGGAAACGGGTCCAAGTGGCTCTTTTTGTCTTAAAGGTTGCAGACCCCTGTCATATACCATATAACACCGGTCCCAGTATGTTTCCGAGCACAATTCAAAGTGTTGGTGCTGACCTTTAAAGCCCTAAACAGCCTCGGCCCAGTATACCTGAAGGAGCGTCTCTGTCCACATCATCCAGCCCGAACACTGAGGTCCAGCTCTGAGGGCCTTCTGGTGGTTCCCTCACAGTGAGAAGCGAGATTACAGGCAGTGTTAGAAACTGAGATATGAAAGCCAGTGTGGTGTAGTGGTTAAGAGCGGTAGTCTCGTAATCTGGGGAACCGGGTTCGCGTCTCCGCTCCTTCACATGCAGCTGCTGGGTGACCTTGGGCCAGTCACACTTCTCTGAAGTCTCTCAGCCCCACTCACCTCACAGAGTGTTTGTTGTGGGGAGGAAGGGAAAGGAGAATGTCAGCCGCCTTTGAGACTCCTTCGAGTAGCGATAAAGCGGGGTATCAAATCCAGACTCTTCTTCTTCTGCCATTGCAAGCCTTTCTATCACATCACAAGGATTCTCTGCAATACTGCCAAAGACAAACTATTTCTTCCCAAATTTCCTAAGTGCATTTTTTTTATTAATTCCTTCTGAATATGTTATGACTTGCATCAGAAACTGATGTCATGGTTCTGTATGCTAATACACATGCTTAATTAGGCCTAAATTTGTGTATCAGAACATGGAACTGCAGCTTCAAACCTATAATCATTTGATTGATTATAGAAAGGGTTAAAAGGTTAACAGTAATGAAAGAATGAAGATCAAGGATGAGCCTTTCACATCTCCCTTAAAAGGCGTGTTGTGAAGGGAATAAACATTGCATTAAATATTAAATTAAGTTATCTGGACAGGTGATATTTTGCAGGAGTTATAAATTATGGGCAGGCAGAATGGACATCTTGTTGCTTTCTGATCACAATTGCTGAGTTTTTCTCCCTATAAAGATATAAATGCTCCACATGTGTAGCCTGTCTGTCTGGATGATTATGATCAGCTGAGGAGATCTTCTTGAGTATTGCACGTGTCCAAATGAAGTGAAAGTTTCCAAAAGAACAATATGCGCAAACTTGTGACCCACTTGGTTGAAAGCAGCCCCACCCATCATGTATGACAACCCAGCCACCCCTCCCCCTCCTTTTGGGTCTGGGTTTTGGGGGCTATGTTTTGTTCAGTATTCCAGAAAGTCATTGCACTGGGGACTCTGCCCTCTACCAGGTTTAGGGGCATCTATAGTGTGATTGCCCCCTTTCCCAAGTCCTGCCCATCTGCCCTCTATCCTTGCCCCAAGTTTATATTGTCTTCCAGCCATTTTCCATAGCAGTGAAGAAGGGGTGCAGCAATTTATATATTTAATCTCACATAATTGGATCATGGGTGGCGCTGTGGGTAAAAGCCTCAGCGCCTAGGGCTTGCCGATCGAAAGGTCGGCGGTTCGAATCCCCGCGGCGGGGTGCGCTCCCGTTGCTCTGTCCCAGCGCCTGCCAACCTAGCAGTTCGAAAGCACGTCAAAGTGCAAGTAGATAAATAGGAACCGCTTACTAGCGGGAAGGTAAACGGTGTTTCCGTGTGCGGCTCTGGCTTGCCAGAGCAGCGATGTCACGCTGGCCACGTGACCCGGAAGTGTCTGCGGACAGCGCTGGCCCCCGGCCTCTTGAGTGAGATGGGCGCACAACCCTAGAGTCTGTCAAGACTGGCCCGTACGGGCAGGGGTACCTTTACCTTTTTAATTGGATCAATAAAAGAAAAGTAGATGAACTGTCAAAGGTAGTTATCACACCCCTTTTATTCAGTAACTTCCTTTACAGGTTCTATACTGGTGTTACATCTGTTGAGCAAGGAGAGTGCCATGCCTCAGCCGGAGGATAATCTGGACCACCCTCCCTGTTACTGAGCGAAGCCCAAGACCTGACTGGATCTGAGGATGAGGAGGAGTCAGGATTCTCAGATCAGATGGCCTGGAGGTCATCCCTTGCTCAGCCTCAGAAGTCGACGCCGATTGGCCCCTGAGCCCCTGTGAGTGACAGCACCATAACCAGCAGGTGGAAACCCAACCAACAACAGCACCACCTCCTCCTGTTTAGGGTTTGCGGTTTCTCTATCAGATAGCTAGTTAAGCTTCAGCAAAGTTAAGGGAACCCTCCCCTAGCATTCAGCCCTCCTGGCTGTTCCCAGGCAATGAGGCTTCATGGTTTAAAAGGAGCCAGGCTCCCTGCAATGTCTCATTGTCTGCACAATTGTGGTGCAAGGTTGTGGGAGTTGTGTGGTGAGATGGAATTGCTCCTTCTTTTCTACTGTACAGGCAGCACACAGCCCCAGGAGTCATGGATGTTGGAATGTTTTCTGTCTGTTTCACTTTGGCACCCTTTGTCAACTGTGGTGTCCCTTTGCTGCAAGGAATGGATGCAATGGCAACTGTGCTACACATACTTCACACTTGCACAAGTGGCTCCCTGGCATTGTGGGACAAGAGGATCAGGTTACTTTAGTGAGTAAAAAGGGGAACTAAGTGCTTAAAAAAAAAACCACAACAAAATAATAAGAAATTGTTAGGGGTTGTGTCCAACGCGGTTATACTCGGAGTAAGCCCACTGAAAGTCATGAATTTAAGGTATTCATGCCCATTGGTTTAAATTTATCTATTTAACTCTCTCTCTCTCTCTCTCTCTCTCTCTCTCTCTACTACTTGATTGAAATATAACCTCTAGGCTGTTTACAAAAAATATTAAAATTATCAATTAAGAATGGGTCTACTCTGAGTTGAACTTAGTTGGCTACAATTCATGGCTTTCAAAACATTGCAGAGCTGGACTTCTCTTGCTTCCTCTGCTTCTGAGCTGGGCTAGAGAATGTCTAGCATTGCACAAGATCCTTTGGAGCCCCAAACAGATGAAACAAAGAATTAATACAGATGCTGCCGTGACTCCCTGTCCCTCAAATTCCCTTTACAAAGGATCTGGCATCACATCCCTGCTCCCCTTTCAATGTATGGGCAGATGGGCAGGAACAAGAAAACAAAGAAAATCAGTGGGTAGCAGGGTAAACAGGTACCACAAAGAAGCAATGGCAGAAAGGTTTCTAACTGCGACAGAACCTTCTCCCCCAGAACTTGGAAAAGAGCCCAAGAGTCTTGGATACCGTCTTCCCTGGATCTTGTTGCAACATGTTTGAAAGTTACTATTTTATTTTACAGTGGTACCTCGGGTTACATACGCTTCAGGTTACAGACTCCACTAACCCAGAAATAGTACCTCGGGTTAAGAACTTTGCTTCAGGATGAGAACATAAATTGTGCTCCAGCGGCGCGGCAACAGCAGGAGGCCCCATTAGCTAAAGTGGTGCTTCAGGTTAAGAACAGTTTCAGGTTAAGGATGGACCTCCGGAATGAATTAAGTACTTAACCCGAGGTACCACTGTATTTATATACTGCCCTTCGTCATAAGATCTCAGGGTGGTTCAGATAATAAAACACAGGATAAAAACAAATAAGTAAAGCAAAACAGCAAAACAATACCCCCCCCCCCACAGACACATTTAAAAGGCTGTAGAATATTAACCAGCTATAGGCCTGGTTTTCACCTGGTGCCTAAAAAGATGTAATGAAGGCGCTAGGTGAACTTTCTGCCTTAAAGCATCCTGGATTACTTAAACTAGAAGGCTAAAACTCGTACACCTGAGCTTCCCTTTTAAGCTGAAAAGAGATGCACTCTGCTGAGCTCACAAACATGAGGAAGGAAGGACAATATCTACTAAACATATCCTCTTCTAGCATCTATACACATCCCTACACATGACCCTCCCAATCCACTCTGGAGGGTTCGGAGAACCCCCAGAACAACACAAGGGCAGCGGGGAGAGGAAAAGGTGAGATTGTCCTGTAACAAGCAGAAATACTGATGCTGGTGGAATAATCGTATTAGTGTGACAGTGAATTCCACACAGTGTGTGGGAACTGAGCCGAGTGAAACAGCACCATCACACAACTGGCAAAGAGCAAGGAGAGAGCCCCTCAGCGTGACGGGCACATAAACCAATGGTAACTCTCTGGTGTATGGGGTTGCCCAAGTGGTGCCCACCAGTATCTCCTACTGTATCCACAAAAGATCTCAGTATATATATATTTTCTCACAAATCTACAGTGCACAAAGGTCTGTTCTCCCTGCTCTGGTCAGCCTCTCCTCCACTCCTCTCATGCCACCTCAGCCCTGCCCACATTTCGTTGGCTGCCCCTCCTTCCATCTTGGCTGCTGATGTCGGTGCGTTTTCCTCACCAAGGTGTGGGCATGCCTGTCACTTTTTGGGTGGGTGGGGGGTCCTGTCTCTTTTACTGCTCTTTTAGATGTGGCAGCAGTTTTATGTTATGCCATTTTGTGAAAGACGCCCACAGCGTTTTATCAAAAGTTCAAATGTGCCCACTGGCCTTTAAAGGTTGCCAACCCCCTGCCCTAACAGGACTACCTGTTGCCTAGCCTCTCCTTCAAGAACCAGCCAGGCAGCCCCATTTCCATTTGGATGAATGCCAGGATCTGCTGGTTAATGTGCCAGCATCTCTCTCTATTGGTCCCACACTTATGTCAGCAACACTCGCTTGCTTTATCATCACACCAGCATTAGTTGCGAGTGGGTGGGAGCAATACAGTAAGTGTTGTTTCTGGTACTTCCTAGGACGGTATCCAAAGAACAGAAGCACAACTGGCAACAGTAATGACTTTCATTAAGCAGTTGCAGTCACAGACACATGGGATTGCCAGACTTCATGTTCTAACTCTTATGTATGACAAAGCAAGAGGCCATTCTCCTCATCCTGCGGCTGCTCTTGCTCAGCTCCCTTGGCATGAAGTTCTGGAAGGCACAGCAGCCCAAGGAGAGAAGGCGTGGCTTTTATGGCTTTTGAGATACCAGAGATATTAGAAATATTGGTCAAATCCTTTGAAATGAAAAAGCCCATGATTACTTTTTAGAGATATTTGCTATCAGTAAATCAATTTGATATGCAGATTTCAAGAAATGAGTGGAACAAAGAATTTGAGGTTCCTATATTACCTAGACAGTGGGGAGTCTTTCAGCTTCTGTACCAAAGGTGTCTATAGATCTTACACAACAAAAAATATTTAGAATTTATTGGACTCCATTGCATTTATACAGAAAAGGACTGTCTAAATAAACACCATGCTGTTGGAGATGGCAGCCAAGGCTACTGCCACCATGTCAATTCTGTCAGTACCTTCCTGAGCTCAGCTGTCTTCTATTTGGGACAGAAGATAAAGACTCAGATCCTGCAACATTTGGAAGAGTCTCCAGGACCCAGGCCTACAATAATAATAATAATAATAATAATAATAATAATAATATTTATACCCTGCCCATTTGGCTGGGTTTCCCCAGCCACTCTGGGTGGCTTCCAACAAAAGATTTAAAATACATTAAAATATCAGTCATTAAAAACTTCCCTAAACAGGGTTGCCTTCTAAATGTCAGATAGTTGTTGATTTCTTTGACATCTGATGGGAGGGGATTCCACAGGGCGGGTGCCACCACCGAGAAGGCCCTCTGTCTTGTTCCCTGTCTGGTTCTCACAATGAGTGAACCACCAGAAGGCCCTCGGCGCTGGACCTCAGTTGTCCAGGTTGAATGATGGGGGATGGATGGGGCTGGAGACACTCTTTCAGGTGGAGACGCTCCTACTACCATCACACCAGCTCCGGAGTATGGCAGTTGCACAAGGCAGACTCTCTCTCCTCCACTCAGCCTTCCTTTCCATGGCTATCTCCTCCTCCATGGGCTCCAGGAAGGTCACCTCCTCTTTCAGATTCCCCCTCTTGGGACTGGGCCACTGTCTTCTCCAGCTAAGATGTTGCCCAAGCTACAGGCACTTTGGACTCTTGCCAGCCTCGCCAGCTGCAACCACCCACATGTGAAGACCGTGGTGAATGACGTTCTGAAATAATTACATGTCTACCCAGTTTAATTATATATACCTGATTTTAAAACTGATGATTTTATCCATATTTTTATAATTTTATTAGGTCTGTTTGTTTCAAAGTCTATTTTCATTGCTATTTGAAAATAAGCATGTTATGCTATTTAATGTAAATGATATTTTCTTTTTACTAAGTGGCATATAATAATAGCAAAATTATATATATATATATATATATATAAAAGTTCCTCACTAGGATACCTTTTTAAAATCCCATCTCCCTTCTCTGGCAGTCCTGTTAACAACAAGCAGTAAAGACGCAGAGATTTTACCAACTGTAGTAGCACTTATCTGGTACACACAACCCAACAATCCTGTGACAAACTGTATGTTGCCCAAACCACTGGTAGAAGAAGAAGAAGAAGAGTTTGGATTTGATATCCCGCCTTTCACTCTCCTTCAGGAGTCTCAAAGCGGCTAATATTCTCCTTTCCCTTCCTCCCCCACAACAGACACTCTGTGAGGTGAGTGGGGCTGAGAGACTTCAGAGAAGTGTGACTGGCCCATGGTCACCCAGCAGCTGCATGTGGAGGAGCGGAGACTCGAACCCGGTTCACCAGATTATGAATCTACCGCTCTTAACCACTATACCACACTGGCTCTCGAATTGAATGGAGTATCCTGAAGGCCTGGCTGAAATCCTAAACAGATGGACTCATGTTGGGAAGTGAGGCTACACTGCAACATTTTATTGCAGGTCCCACTGGTTTCTTTGTAGTGCCCAAATCAGAAAATATAAGGCACCTGGGATAATACCCTCATAGAGATGACTGTGCAGTACATCTATGGTCCATAGCTTACTGGTATTAAGCTTATTTAAACCAGGAGTGGGGAACCTCCAGCCTGCTGGTCCACCTGGGTCCCCAAGGGGGTCCAACCCATGAGGCCATTTCACCAAAACCTTGCCCACCTGTCAATCAGCTGTCATCACCCAATGGTGGTGATGTCAGCTGGCAGGAGGAGGAGGGGGAGGGGTTCGGTGTTGGTCTGCACCCACAGAGAACTGGTGAGCCAAGTCAAAGCAGCAGGATTTTAACCTTCACCCTCACTCATCAGCTGATGAATGGCAGGTTAAATCCTACTGAGAGTTCTGCAGAGAGCAGGATGGAACCCGAGGAGCAGAGAAACCAATCCTGTTGGTGCTTCTTCGCTGCTTACCACCTGTCCCAACTCCTGTGCGTTAGCTCTGACAGGTGCACACATTAAAAACACAGGTCAGCTAAGCAAATGATGACTTAGCATTACATGTGAATGCAGCCAGAGGTAATTTATTCCTGAGGAAGACTATCTTTGAAATGTATTGGACCATTAAATCTGTGTTTAGTGCCTCCTTGAGACACCACTGTTAGTACTTATGCCTTCTCTCTGTTTCACTGTCAGGTTGAAATATAGCCCTGCCCCCCCTTTGCAAAAATAAGTTTTACCACAATCTAAACCAGTGGCTACATAACTGCTAATTTCGTAGGGTGCCCATATGATTTTTTTTATTGCAGGTTTCCTATACAATGCACTTCTGTGGGGCTACATTTTAAGCAAAAAATGTGTTAAAGCTGAATTCCTGTAGGAGAGAAAATCTATACCACAAAATAAAACAGCATTTGTAACTGATATAGCCTGCAATTTAACATGTGCAACATTTTTCTATAATTTATACAGTTGGACAGAAAATGAAATAAAATTGAATGCAGAAAAACTCTGTAATTCCAACATTCCTCCTAAATTGTTTCTATGGTGACAGCAAAGTATTAGTAACAGCAAAGAAAGCTACCAAGAGCAGAACAATATTAAGCATAAAAGAATTTGCCTCTATTGCAAACCATCAACAAAGATAACTATTTGGATGCAAGAAGGGCATAATTTATTGAACAGAGAAAGTGGATTTTCTATGTTGGCATTTGCTTTTACTTCCTTGCAAGAGGAAATAAATCATTGTTTCCTTGCAAATGGCTCCATATTGGTTGTGGCTTTTACACAGGCACATTCCCCAAGCATGGAGAATTTCATGTGTTATACAGTTGTAATCCTTTCTTTTCAAAATTAGTAGTAACTCCCCCATAAAAGTGCAAACTCCAGGAAAGTTTGCCACATAAACAATGTTAGTTATGAGGTGCCATTTGCTGCAAGAGACTAAAACGATACAAACTCCCTTGATAGGAGTGTTGTCCTTTTGTGCAAACAGACGACAATCATCTCAAGCAGCTACGCTTCATGTTCATTTAATGACCCTATTGACAGGCTAGAGATTTGTGTGATGAATTTATGGAGGCTCCCATTGTGTTTTCGTTATATACTTTAGAAACTCTCCCAGTCCTCTGTTCAGACAGGAACTGTTACTATCTAGTTTCAGTGTTCGAGTAATGTCCAGCAGTACTAAAATCTTAGTGAATGATGTGCTGCAAGAGGAAAAAGTTACTTTTCCCATTTTCTATGTTTTGAAGAGCCATAAAAGTCAAAACAAGTGAAAGAGCAAATCAGGCCTATTCTAATGTGAAGTTTGGTGCACATTATGGTTTGGGGCCCCTCCAATGTGTGGAAGTTCTGAGACAGCTCATAATGACTTAAGTATCTTAAAGGTGACCTACAAAGAGAGAAAGGTTTCTTATGGCCTTTTTTTTGGTGCTGACATTATTGAAAGAACAAAAACATGCTGTAAAGTGTAGAAAACCCTAATAAGGCTTGGTCAGCAGACACAGCATTCTTTTGCTACAGAAGCCCTCAACTACTGTAGTAAGAAAGCGAGAACCTGACCCAATGAGACTGAAGCCCCCTTTGAACAACTGGGACTTACACAGAGGCTCGGGCTATAAAATAAATCTAATCCTGCATTGTGTTTTCGTTCAACCCCCTCCTTCAAGCTTTGTGCCCTTGAAAAATTCTCAGAAGCTACAGCTGCTTCAAAATGTCACCACCTGATTATTGACTGGAACAGGCCGCAAAGAGGCCAAATTCAAGAGGGCTGAATTTCATGATTTCTGAGTTCAATTCAGGATGGTACCTGCATTTTAAAGTTCCAAATAGTCACCATAACTCCAGACAATAGAAGCCACCTGCACATAGTCTACTGTCTTGTGTCAGTCATGTGAAGACCTGGCCATCAGCTAGTACAATGGCTGCCCATGTGCTGCGCAGACTGGATGCCGTGCTCCATCGCCCCCCGACCCACAAATCAGGGTCTGGTTGAGAAGCAACCTTCGCGACAACCGGAGGCCCTCAATTTGAGAGAGAGAGAGAGAGAGAGACCAAGTGGGTGGTGCCTCCTGCCCCCATGCAGCCCGGCTGACCCCAGCGCTGGATTGATGAGGGTGGTGCTGGCCCCGACCCACCAAGGGGCCCGACAGAGAGCCTTCCTCTCGGGGTGCCAAAATGTGGGCCTCCCCGGCTCTGCCCCTGCTGACCTCGGGGGGGGACGGGCAGGACCAACACCCTTCGGAGGGGCCGCGGGCCCGACGGGCGCAGCTCCTCCTCCTCCTCCTCGGCCTTTGTTCGGCGGCGGCGGCGGCGGCGAGAAGCCGGCCGGGCCGGGCGAGCGGGAGGCGGCCTCGCCGGGCCGGGCGAAGATGGCGGCTGCCCGGCCGCGTCCCGCCCTCGGCCCAGCGGCGCCTCCTCCCGCCGGGCGCCGGGCAGGCGCAGAGGAAGCGGCCGGGCGCCCGTCCCGCCCTCGTCGTGGGAGCAGGCCGGCCCGGCAGCCGCGAGTCCGGGGCCGCAGGAGGAGGCGGAGCGGCGGCGTTGGCGAGGAGGCGGAGCGGCGCCCCTGAGGCGGCGGCGGCGGCGGCGAGGTCAGCGGGGAGGGCGAGGCGGCGCCGGGGCTGCTTCCTGGGGCTGCCCGGTCTGGAGCAGCGCGGGCCCGGGAGGGGAAGGCGGGCGGGCGGGCGGGCGGCGGGGTCTCCGCGGAGCCGGAAGAGCTGCTCCTCCTCCGGCGGCAACAGCCTCTCCCGCCGACGGGACTCCAGAGCCCTCGGCAGCGCTGCCTTCCTTGCCCCGGAGCGCATGGCAGCTTCGGTCAGGTTCCATCCTCACTTATGTGGGACCAGTTTCCACGCGGAATCACAGAACTCTAGAACTGTAAAGTTGGAAGGGACCCCGAGGGTCATCTAGGCCAACCCCCTGCAAGGCAGGGATCGCAACACGAAGCGCCCCCATCCAATTCGAAACCACTCCAGATCCTGCTTAGCTTTGCAGATGTGCCAGCAGTTTCCTTGCTGCAGCTCCTTCAGCAGCCAGCCCTGGCGCCCAGGTGCCTGGCCCCTTGACCCAGACCCGCCTGGCTTGTGGGGCTGCCCCGGTGGGTCCAGAGTGTCCTGAATGCTTTGCTGTGTGAGGCTGATCCGTGCTGCATTGAAAGAGGCCGTGATGCAACCGCTTCTACGGAAACCGGCTCCAGGCCCTTTGGCTTGGAACATTGACCAGTTGGCAAGACCCCCTTTGGGGGAAGGTGGTGGAGAGAGCCATGGGGGGCAGCTACAAGCATTATTGGAGGGCCCAGATTATTTAGAGCCATTCCCACCTGGGTTCAGTCGGGGCCACAGACCTGAGTCGCCCTTGTTGCCCTGATGGATGACCTCTGCAGAGAGCAGCGCACAGGGAGTGTGACCTTGCTCCTGCTCCCTGCACTCAGGGAAGACCATCCACCATCCTGGACCCATGGACTGGGGACAGTGTATTACAGCGGTTCCAATCCTACCTTCAGGTCCAGAGAGTAGCACTGGGAGAGTACCTCTTGGCCCCCGGGCAGCTATTTAATATATGCAAGTTGGGGTTTCAGGGCAATGTGCCACCAGTATGCTGAGGACACTCAGTTCTCTTTCTCCTTAACATCTGAATGTTACAGAGAGACCGCACAGTCCTGGGGTCATATCCTGCCTGCCTCCCAGTGCCATCGCTGCCTCCCATGGGAGCAAGTTCCATAGTTCACACTATGCTGTGTGAAGAAGAGCTTTCTTTTATCTGTCCTGAATTTTCCAGCTTTTGCTTCCTTCAGTATCCATGAGTTGTCGTGTTATAAGAGAGAGAGGAAAACATTACCACCCACTTTTGCTCATGTCCTGCTTCCAAGCGTCCCACGGGGTCCCTGGGAGAACAGGAGGCTGGGCCAGACGGGCCTTTGGATTGTCAACTGTTCCCTTTTCTTGCGAGGAATCCTATTTGGAATAAGGGAATTTCCCTTAAAAAAAGAGAAACGTTGACAGCCATGGGCTCTTACTATGTCTTATTTGATAAACTTCAAATGTGACTATATTTTGTCATGTGTAGTATATAAATTGCAGATGTTTTGTTTGGGTATGATGCATGTGTTTGTCAGTATTAGCGCATAGGCTTTTGTGGGCTATGGTCTACTTCAACAGATGCATGAAGTGTGATCCTCAGTCAAAGTACATATACAGACAATTGTGAGTGGTAACCGCAGACATTGAGATCAGGGAAACGAGATGAAGAAAAAGTACAGACCTGATAATTACATAATTATTTGTGGTCATTACAGCTGGTAACAGAGACATCCTCTCATGGTAAGCCAAGCCCCCCCCCCAGGTGCTCTTTTTAAATTTGCATTCCTGATTATTGATGCTAATGGTATTGAGGTGGTTATATGCACCCCACTTTTAATATGGCTTGTGCCTAAAAAAGGTTTTGGGTGAGTATACTGTTTCATTTCTAATTGGTGCATGTCTTCTTGCTTCCTGCTGAAATTCTGCAAATTCCACAAATGTTCTGGAGCAGGGGCATTTGACCTGCTTTTGTTGCACTATCTTTAGTTATTACATTTATACCCCACCTTTTATGAAAGACACTTAAAGTGGCATTCATGGTTTTCCTCCCCACTCTTTCTATCCTCTCAACAACCCAGTGGGGTAGACTAGACTAGGCCGAAAGATTTGAAACCTGGCCTCCTTCATCCCTGTCCAGCCCTCCAGCCACTGCAGCACACTGGCGCTCGTGATATAGGCAAGAGGACCTCTCTGGACAGCCATCATGCTGGAAGCATTGTAGAACAGCTAATAAAGCAAAATGATGTTTGGGTGACCCGGTATAAACCCCCCACTAATGCGCATGGAGAGGCATGAATAACAAGATGAAGAGGGGATAGGAGAGCCACCTTCAGATATCTGAAGGGCTGTCCCATGGAAGTTGGAGCAAGCTTGCTTTCTCCTCTGGAGGGTAGGACTCAAACCAGTTCAAGTTACAAGAAAGGAGATTCCGACTAAACATCAGAGAGAACTTTCTGACAGTAAGAGCTGTTTGACAGTGGGAGATTGTGGACTTTCCTTCCTTGGAGGTTTTTAAGCAGAGGCTGGATGGTCATCTGTTGTGGATGCTTTAGCTGAGATTCCTGCATTGCAGGGGGTTGGAATGGACCTTGGGGTTCATTCTAGTGCTACAACTCTACGTCATTCAGGCAGTGACATTCAGGCAGAATACCTGTGCAAAACCCCCGCCAGTCTGCAGGGCTGCCAAATTAACACGTGATAAACATCCACAGTGATGATTCAGTCCCCAAAGAGTAGGGTCAAATCTCTTGATGTGTCTGTAGTAGCAGTTCCTCTGCTTCAGTTTGGCCCAGACTCTGTGGCAGACCCAGATGCAGACTCTGCCCTCATGGCAGGACCTAATAATTCCCCCACAACATGAGAGGATATTGCACCTGCTCATCTTCCAGCATGACATAAGCCATAATCTACCAGCAATACCTTTCTGCATTCTACATAGGACAAACAGGCAGTCTCTGTGCAGAATAAAAAATGGACAGAGATCTGATATCAGAACTGGCAATACTGAAAAACAAATGAGGGACATTTTAACTTTGCAGGGCACTGTAACTGGTCTTAAGGTGGCCATATTGGAATGGAATAATTTCAAAGGCGTTCAATGCTATCCGTTCTGGGTTCATGGGTTATTATAGCACTATATGTGTTAATTGGCTTGTCCTGCCAGGATGCCAGTGTTCCCAGCAGCATTGTTCATTAACAACCAATTAATGACATCCGTACTTCTTTGCATTTCATTTCCCTCTGACCTCACCATTAGCGGTCCCTAGTACATGCCATGTGTGGGTATTTGCCAACTGATTATATCACTTCATGCAAATGAAGAAAGAAGATTCCACCTAAACATTAGGAAGAACTTCCTGACAGTAAGAGCTGTTCGACAGTGGAATTTGCTGCCAAGGAGTGTGGTGGAGTCTCCTTCTTTGGAGGTCTTTAAGCAGAGGCTTGACAACCATATGTCAGGAGTGCTCTGATGGTGTTTCCTGCTTGGCAGGGGGTTGGACTCGATGGCCCTTGTGGTCTATTCCAACTCTATGATTCTAAATGCATAGGCTGCAAAAGCTAAATTCGTAAGGCTTTGTTGTTACCACCATTGTGTGTGAAATGGGGAACATTTGGGAGGAATTTAGAAATACATACTCTTACCCCAGCTCCTTCGATTTCACCCAGTAGTTTGTGGTATATCTGGGACTACATTCAGTACATAAAATCCACACATTCTTTAAAAAAATCACACTGCATATGTGTAAAGCATTTGGTGTTCCAGAAGGAAACATTTGAGAATGTGTTAAGGCAAAACGTTGAAATATTAAGGGTGCATTGTTAATTTCAGAATGTTTCCAAGATTGAACTTACTAGATGGTTTGCAACTTAAAGTTAAATGGAACTGGTCAGTGAATGTAGTTGATGAGGTGTTTCATGGAATACCTTGTTTGGCATTCCTCCCAACCCCCACCCCACCCCTAAAAGAGGTTCTCTTGCTTCCTGTTTTGAGCATTCTTCTTAATACCATAAGTCATAATAATATAGTGCTTTTACAAAACATTTATAAACCTCCCCTTGGAATTTATTGCATACTTTTTTCAACAATGGTCCCGATTCACGCAATCAATCTTTGCATTTGCTGCACTTGTTTTTTGACTGGGTGATTTATTGGCCAGCTTTTAAGATTCTCTTACATTTTCCCCCCTGTTGCTCAAAAGATTTTTGTAAGGGTTGCCAGCCTTGTTTCAGATCAGTGTCAGTGTCAGAAGCTTGAAGAATGACTTTTGTGGGCTTACTAAACACAGAGGAAGTGTCTGAAATGTGATTAGTCAATTAACTACATGTTAACATGTAGCAGTGTGCAATTTAATAAACGTATATGTTTTAGCAATTATATTTGCATAATAATCTTAGGCACGGTTGAAAGTTAGGGGCTAATGACATTTCTGCATGAGCTCCTAAAGCAATAAGACATGCTAGACACTGCATTCCCTGTGATTATATGCACCCCAAGGGCAACATTAAGGCACAAGGCCAAACCCAAGAAGTGTGATAATCCCCCAGAAATTAATTGAGTGGAATGTTGGAGGCTATTGAGAAACGTAATGCACACAGAGGGGTGGGGAGGGAACTGGTTAGACCTCTGCTTCCACTTGTGCTCTCTTCTGCTGGCAAGAGGGTGATCGCCTCAGGCAGCAATCCGTTCAGTGTGAATTACAGAATTGTAGAGTTCCATCTAGGGACTCCTGGAAGGGACCCCATCTAGACCCCATCTAGTCCAAACCCTACAATGCAGGAATCTCAGCTAAAGCATCCATTGACCATCCAACCTCTGCTTAAAAGCCTCCAAGGAAGTAGAGTCCACCACCTTCCGAGGGAGACCGTTCCCGGTCAAGCAGTTATCACCCTCAGAAAGCTGTTCCTAACGTTTAGTCTGAATCTCCTTTCTTGTAACCTGAAGCCATAGGTTCAAGTCCTACCTTCCAGAGCAGGTGAAAACAAGCTTGCTCCATCTTCCATCTGGCAGCCCTTAAGATATTTGAAGATGCATGGCTTATTCCCTCTCGGTCCCGGGATATGTTTTTGGGCAAAATATACCCAACTCCCTCAACTGTTCCTCATAAGCTTAATTGTTTTGGAGTAACATATTCCACCAAATGATCATGAAAACACCACAGTTCATTTGGTTATGATCATAACAGCAGAATTCTAGGTTGAGAATTGGACTAGTCAAAAAAGATTTGGGCCAAATATTGTCACAAAATGGTCAAGTATTTTAAAAGCAATAACCTTTTGAGAGCAACAGAATATTACCAACATAATTGATGTTTGTGCTACTTATGACAATAAATTATGTTGCTCCCTCCCCCCCCCCAAGGAACTTAGCATAATGCACATCAGCCTTTCTCCACCTTGGGGGTCCCCAAATGTTGTTTGACTACAACTCCCATCATCCCTTGCTAGCAGGACTGGTGGTTGGGATGATGGGAGTTGTAGTCCAGCAACATTTTAGATTAATCTACTCATGGAGTTGTTCCGAGGCTGACAGTATGCGACTGGCCCAATGTTGCCATTGAGCTTTATGGTCAGGTGAGAATTCGAACCTACGCCTGTCTTCCTGGTCCTAGTCTGGCCTGCTGCCTGCTAGACTTTTGCCTCTGTTTGGAGATGTCTAAAATTATAGTACTTTGCTTCACTGCTTGTTTTGCCCCAATTGCTGCAGAGCTAGGAGATAACTAGCACTAAGGTAATGACACCATAATGACACACAGAAGTATTCATTAAATGTTTGACTGGGGTCAAATAACAGTTGACAATATTTGACTTGCTTGCCAAGCCTAAATAATTTTCTTCAGTTTAAGCAAGGGATTATTTTGTCCTCTACTCCTTGCTTGCATATACTTCAGAGCCCCTGCCTTACTTTCTCTTTCCACCTGCTAGACAAAATTCTCAGCAAGGCAAACCAGGGATTTATTTGACCTTCAATTCTTAGCAGAATTCTATGAATTCTAAACTACCGTACTTTTCCGTCTATTAGACGCCCCCATGTGTAAGACCCCTCCTATTTTGGGGGACTCAATTTTAAGAAAATGAGGGGAGATTGCCCAAAGTTGTTGAGCCTCCCCCCCCCAGCTGTGGGCAGGAAACACTCCCTAGATCATTTCCCACACGCAGGTAGAGGGAGTGTTTCCCTCGTGCAGCAGCATCGGGGGAAGCTGCGCGCCGCCAGCCAGCACCCCCAGAGCACTCCCTGCGCACAGCAGCACCTCCCCACCCCGCCAATATCCGTGTATTGGACGACCCCAGTTTTTTGACATGATTTTTGTGTCAAAAAACCTCGTCTAGTCCACAGAAAAATACGGTAATTCTAATATCAGGGTTACTGAAGTCTCTCATGACTACTATATCTCTCTCCTTGGAAAGTTTGGTCCCATGATCTAGGAAGGAATTACCCGGGTCTTCTGCCTGGCTTGGCACTCTAGCACACCACAGTGATTATTTATTTTTACACAAATGCTCTCAATGATCTTCCGTGTTCAGTTTCATAGATTTCCAGGTTTGTCACTAGGTTTGCCAGAGTGCCTTTCACTAACTTCCATTCGTATGATAGCTGTAACTGTTAAAACGTCTGCAAATCACAACTTTCTGTGCTGCTCTTGAACTTCCTCAGTAATTACTGTTGTTCTTCTGTGAATTCAATTTAGTTACAAGCCCAAACAACATTATTTAGTTTTTCAGGCATGTTGTTAACTTACTAT